GTTTTCTGTTTCGTTTCTGTCCACTTTGAATAAAGTTAAAATGTTCCAATGATTACTGATGTTGTCTCTGGAGTATTGTGAGCAATAGCAATATAATGGCTGTTCCTGGTTGAACAAAGACGCCTGTCTCTAGAAGGATCCTTTCCATAATGTTCTCAGACTTATGGATAGGCTTAATAACAATCTGAGCCTGTCATTGGCAAAACAAGCACTTTTAGTGGAGGTACATTGAGGCGCGCATTTGTCCCCAAGGATTAATGTTATTTTACACTGCAGCCATTGCTGTCCTTTTCACAAATATTTCCACATCTAACTCTGTAAATTAAGGATTTATTTCAACCAAACCAATGTTGGTGGTTGTTGGAAAGACTGTGGAAAGACGTCCAGTTTTGGTGAGTTTTATGTAATTTCTGTCCCATGGTTTTGGTCGGAAAAATGCTGGCGTTCTAGTGCTACAGCCAGAGGCAAGTGAATTTTGTGTATGTAACCTTTAAAGTGATAGTTCAATGTTTACTGAAATATGCTTATTTTCTTTCTTGCCGAGAATTAGATTAGAAGAATGGTACCACTCATATCTGTATGGTGGAGCCAGCCAACAGTTAGCTTAGTATAAAGACTGAAAGCAAGGAGAAACAGCTAAATCTGCCTACCAGCACATCCAAAAATCACTATATAACATTTTTGTTTAATCCGCAATTAAAGTGTAAAAACTGCAAATTGTGGTTTTACAACGTGTTCCACAATATTTTCTGGTCTTGTTGTCTCTGTGAGGTTGCCAGGCAACCAGCAGAGACAGCAAATATCATTTAACTGGCCTCTCAAACACAAACTGTTTAAATGTAGTTTTTAAACTTTATATTTGAGGTAGAGTAAAAGTTTATTTTTTAATAGTATATTTGTTTTAGTAGTTCTTTATCCCAGTGGCATTTTTAATCTCTCTGCATTTCAAATTCATTTAATGCCCAATCTCTCAAATGAACAGAAAACGTATGTCCTGTGTTGATGCAATATTTGCCTTGAACGCTGATATACTACAATACAAACAGTTTATGCTGTAACCTGTGTAATTGCTCTTCGTACACATAGATTTTTCAATAAAACAGTAATTACTGAGCGAAATCCCAGCTGTCCCATTACATGCACATGGGTTGTCACGTTACGGGAAGATGATTAATCACACAAACAGTTGCTCATTTTTAAATACATCCTTAATGCATTCTTTCGCCTCAGAGGCTATATATCACTTATTTTCCACCTTCTGTGTTTGATGAAGGTATAAACTTTTTACAATGCTCTTGGACCCTTGTTACGCAAGGTGTATATGTGGTGTATTTTTTTATTAATGTCCAAAAAGTGTGTGTATGTTGTGGGGTGACACCGAGGCCATCTCTACAGGAGTCATATCTGAAAAAAGGGTCAGGTGATGTTGTAACTCACCCTGGTTCACCTCCCACCGCACAGAAAGCACAGTAATAAATTCAGAGTCAGGGACCTCTTACATTTCGCCGTTGCACTCCTACCTGTACCTGTTGTCATTCACTATTTTATCCTCACAACCCTCATGTGCTCATCCCTCTCTCCTCAGAGCAAAATTGTTTCCATATGCCTCTATCAATTTCAGCTCCTTCTCTATATTTTACCCAATTTCCAACAGTCCTAACAGTTAATCTTTCCCTCTTTACAATGTCATTCTACTTTTTGCCTCCCTTTGTTCATCCCTTTCACAGCATGGTGCAGGCAGTGCAGCTGGACATTAATCTGCCACTGATGAGCTCCACTCACCCGACAGCTCATGGCTGCTTATCAGGCACTGGGTAAGATTAGGACAGTCACTGGTGTCACAGTTGAGTTTTAGCAAGAGGACGATGAAAAGACATTGTCATTACCTTTCAGATGCCTCTATAAAGACTAGAAGCCCATTCACATTGAAAACAATAACTAAAATGGCATTTTCTTTTGTCCTTATAGTACAATGATATCTGTGTTAAATTCCCTGAAAAATGACTCACTACAGTGACACTTATTTTCATCTTTTTTGTCAATTCATTGTCTCTTAGAGTAAAACTATCACTGTGATATCAACGAAATATAAAGTGACAGCTGACACCCACATCCTTTATATATTTAATTCCACAGTAATTGTACAGATGCACTCTGACAGACAATGTGGAGAATCTGTTTAATTTTTAAATAACTTCTTCATGCGCATTTTTAGATATCTCCAGAGCAGAGAGTATTGATTGAGCTCCATGGTAACACGCATTCAGCATATCCCACACAACAAATAAAAACAAATGTCAAGTGCACACAGTTTATCCTTCTGTCCTTCTTTTCTTCCACCTTCCATCTTGGTTGTACATTGCTTCCCTTTTCTTTTGCTGAACAGTCTCATCTCAGCACTTAACCTCCAATTTGCATAAGTCATTATGGCTGTGAGGACTGAGGAGGCTATAAATTCTTCTAAGTGTTCATCCATTGTTGTACGTTTAAAAATGCCCAACCACTTTTTACATTTCTTTGACTAATGGAGACAGAAAGAGCATCTATCGCTGATACATCATTCATACGTTTGATGAGCCAAGCAGTTTCAACTTCATTCATTTGAACATACAGCACCTGATTGGTGTGGGGAATCCGTTTTTAAACAAGTCACATGTAATTGCAGTAATTATATATTTAAAACTCATTCTGATATTTTGAACAGTATTCTTTCCTTGGGCAGTTGAATCTACCAGGAATATTTCTCTAAAACCTCGGGAGAGCAATACTTTCTTATTGAATACCTTCTCCTACTGCCAGCATCAATTACAGCAAATGTTTGTTCTGCCGAATAGGAAGCAGGAGTATCTCTCCTGCTTCCATCAATAAACAGAGACCAGAACAACACTGGTATCTCAAAGTGAAAACAGGAAACTCAATAGAAAAGCTCCAGCCTTTTTATAAAAACATAGATTTTCCTCCAGCACTCCTGACAGATGCTGAAGTTAAAGTGTTTGTGCGCAGCTGGGGCTCTGGAGAGCCGGCTGACTGTGGCTCTCTGTGTGTATCTGGGTGTGCTAGCAGGTCCGTCATCGACGCCACATCAAAGAGCTGAGTTGACATTCCTAGGTCATTGACTGCAGACTGAGAACAGCAGAGACAGAGTGGAGGGGTCCTTTTTGATGATAAAACACAGGTGAAGGCGAACGCGGAAGAACTAGGAGAAGATGAAGCTGTCTGCTGACTGTGATAATGCAAGAAGACTGGAAGACTTTTCCACAGTAGCACAGCTTTCAGACTGAATGAAAACTTCATCATCCCAGCAGAAACTACAAAGTTGGGAGTCCACAACAGGGATTGTGGAAAAGATGGGTAAATGATGTTGTCATCTTTCACTGGTAATCCATTTAAATAAGTCAAATTTAATCACAAAAGCTTTCATTTGGTATTTGAACTAGATAAATTTGGCCTCCCATTACCTCCCCTGCCTCTGCAACATGCACACACACAGTTATATACACGTTTGCAAAGTTGAATCTCTGAAAAGTTTTGTCCTAAGTTGGTTTCTACTTGCTGTTTACCCCTAAAACTTACACTACATTGTTTGAACTGGCTTGTATCTGCAGACATAAGCCAAATGAATTGGACACATTGTCACTCGCCTAATTAAGGCACGCTCCTTGCAGGGCTCTGGGAGGGAGAGTGTGGGAGGTTCCAGTTACTCTCCTCATCATCACTACTTGTACTTTCTGCACCAAGGAGCCGAATGTTAAGCAGGTCTTTTTTAAAATCTCTCAGCTCATTGACATAAAGTGCATCTCCCCACTTGGCTCACTCAACATTTCCATAATAACAGTCATTATCTTCAGCACACATCTTTCTGCTTCATTTAAGCCATTCCTAACAAGGGGTATCTATCATGAAGGTGCTACTATTCTGCGGTCGCACTGACCTCCAGCACTCTGATTTATTCCTGACCATCTCCTCAGCTCTGTCTTTCGCTGCAGGACAAAAACCGCCACTGTGAACCTTTTTAATTATGAAGACATAATTTAAAACTTCATCAGTCCTCAGTGGTCGCTGGACAGGGTGACATAAGCAGCCGGCAGGCTCTCCGTCTTATGGCCGGGGTCATTTTTTAAATGGAGATGAGGGCATGTAGGTAAATAAGGGCAATGCAGCTCATAGTGCACTTCATGGTTCTTAAATTATTCACTAATGATCACACTCATGCCACTTTGATGAAACTTTCCTTTGTTACAGCATACATGCAAGTTGTTGTCATTTCTCTAACAACAAATTGGAGTCTTGCGGTAAATGGAGGCTGTGCATCATTGTGTGTGCATGTGTGTGTGAGGTGTGATTGGTGGTGCTGTTTGGCGCACACAGCATCATTATTTTGATTTTGTCCTTCCCTGCTCTTGTGACTTGGTGAAGCAGCAGGACACAGAGAGATGAGGGCGAGGAGGTGCACCCAGCTCCACCTTGACAAACACAAGGACAGCTCTACCTACGACTACACTGTATTAAACCAATTATTCACCATCAGGGATTGTTTTCGGCGACAGTGAATGTTTTGTTTACTCGGCTCAAAAATGTAGCGAATGGGGTGTCATCTACGGCGCAGGCAGCGGAGATTGTAAACATGTTTTTCTCTCCCCTCCCTACAAGAGGATAAATAAAAAGACTGCTGTTAGAAGATTTAATTCCGAGAAGCGTCTCTCCAGGGCTCTGTGGTGCACTAAGAAGCCCACTGCAAAAAGCCTTCAATTAGCAGAGCTACGCCTTCATCTTCTGACCAAAGTCACCTTGAACAATCAAATTATCTCTAAATTTAAATAAAACAATCACTCCCAATCAATCACAGTTCATTAGCTTGAATATGGTTTCCATTGCCTCTTGAACATGCCAAGAAAACCTACAGTCAGCCCTCATTCACTCACACACTGCAAATACGTGTGCGTAAGGTCATCTACAGACACACCTGTGTGCACAAAAGAAGAAAAAGCAGTAGACAACAATAGTTTACACTGAAATGTCTTTTAATTCCTGATCACACAAGGCACAGTTGTGTTTGTTTTAACTACAGTTTGTGAGATTTTAGTCGGGTTTGCAGGACTTAGAAAAGTTGGACTTGACCGTCTCCAAACAGGCAGACAGACAGACTGCTGGGGCAGACAGACATAAACAAAGTTAGAGCTGTGCATTATCATTGAAATTCACGCCCTTTGTACTAATTTAGCACACAGTATAATGATGAATCACTGATAACTGTCCTCATCTCCAAGAACTTCATTTACAAAAATGATTAAAAAACCTGTTCTCATTATCTCCGAAATAAGATAAAAACTTAACTATACCCACAGTATTTTGGATTGAAATATGATGATAATAAGTTATAATGCAGCAAACCAAAATATTTTGGAATTGAGATACCTTTTTAAATCATCATTTGAAATAATTTCTACTGATTATGACTTTAGAGGTATATACCTTGGTGCATTGAGCTGGCATTCATAGCCGGCTTGGCACAGCAAAAACAAAAAATAACTGATGAAGAAAAAAAGATTTCTTTCATCCTGAATGACAATAACCAATTTACTGTGTGTGTGTGTGTTGTTAAATAGCTACAGACTGCTGTGTTTCCATCTAGGCTGGAGCGATATCTGACACAGTCTCATCAAAATCACTCCATCACAGCCGACGGAAGTAAGTGCCTTTTCCCCAGACAAGATGAGGAGAAGGAGGCTTGTCTACACTAAAAGCATTTTCACACTGCAGGACCAATCTCCAGCACTATTGCCCAGACCAAGGTCATTTTTGTTCAAACAGCAAAGCCCAAGATGATGTAGTGAACCGATATCCCCGGGGTCAGCATGGTACATTCCATCTTGGTAGCATTGGGTGGTGTAAACTAACTCCGTGCTTCAGCATCCACAATTTTATGGTTCCAGAGTTTACAGCAGAGCATGCAGATTTTTTTTTCTTGAAGGTGTGAAAAAAAAAAAAAAAAAAGGCCAGTGAATGCTGCAAAATGCCCTTATCTCGTCATGCACCGTCAGCCCCAGATGTCCTGTAAGTAGCGTTTCTCCTCTCTCAGCCTTGCCAGTGTCTTCATAGCCTCCAGCTGGTCCACCTGAAGCTCCGTTTTGATCATATCCATCAGGGTGTCGTTCACGTCTTTAGCCATGTTCTTAGCATCTCTGGTGAATAAAAGAGAGAAAAAAAGGCCCAATACAATCAATAGGCATGTTTTTAAGACAGTACTATGCGTGTGTAAACACAGTGGCAAGCCACTTTTGTAAAACCAGCGAGTGCTGCCAGTCGAGGAGTGCATCCTGGAAGGAAATTGCGGAAATCTTTATCTTGCTGTTGCAGCATATTGGGGGAGATTCATCATCCTGTGGACCTAAAGTGATATTTTTTGACTCTGAGGAATTCACAGAGTTCTGACATTTCAAAAAACATTTGCTCAAAGGTGCAGGTAAGTGGCCTGGCAGTCATGAGAGAGGAGAAACACAAAAAAGATGATATTGAGCTATACAAATGTCGACATGACTGGACTTGTTATATGCCTGTGTGTGTTCTTCTTTGTCTTGTTGTGCTGACAGAAACATTGTGTTGTGATATAAAAAAGGAGGGGTATATATTCGCCATAAAAGCTACAAACTTTGCTTTTAACTGAGCAATTATGCTCAGATTAAAAAAACGTGCTAACCTGCCTGTAAGCACTTTAGCACCTTTTGTTTATTTTTTATGAATCAAGTTCTTTGCCAGATCTAGTCATCAGTTATTTGTTTTGACAGTCATAAAAATATAGCAGATGAATGTATGATAGGACATATATTTCTTTTTTATTTAACCTTTACCTAGACAGTTAACCTCATTGAGACAAGGGGTCTCATTCCCAAGAGAGACCTGGTGAAAACAACAGCAGCAATACAACACTACGTTACAGACAGACAGGACATTCAATACAGAGACAACATGGAACACAAATCATAAAAGTAATAATTACAAAAGTGCCAAAGTGGTAGTCAGATTATAAATAGTATGTACAAGAGCCAAACACCACAGATTTCTTAAAAGTATTTTAAAGTCCCCTGGGGGAATCGTGCTGGACAGCTTCAGTTCCTGCTGTAGCGTGTTCCAGGTTGAGGTGCAGAGTAGGATAAGGCTTTTTTTTTTTTTTTTACCAAATTCTTTATGGACTGAGGGGATGGAGAGGGTAATGAAGCCCTGGGAGCGTAGGCAGCACTGTTTACATGGCATGTAAGTGGATAAATACGTGGGCAGCAGTCCAATGACATATTTATAAAATAAGTTATACCAATGCAAAGTTCTGCACATGGATAATGATGACCAGTTGACTGAACAATACAGAGTACAAGGAGTTTAAAACTGGTTATGAATCTCAGAGCTCCATGATAACAGAGCATCCATCAGATGAAGAGAGGGAGCTGAGGAATTCATGAAAAAAAAATCCCCATAGTTCGAGAGGGGTAAGAAAGTGTCAGCAATGATCTATTTCCTAGCATTAAAAGGAAAAACAGGATTAGTTCCTAAAAAAGAAGCCGGTGCGACTGAATAGTGTCAAATGAAGATGCAGAAGTTTGAATGCCAGGGCAACAGCGCTCACAAAACAATATATAACAGTATTACTGGCATAAAAATGTACAGATGCATTACTTTTGACCCACATCATGTAATTAAGTAATGTTTACTGTCTACATGTTAACTACTTTTAGCCAGTTTGGCCTGGTCTCTATCGTAAAAGATTTGAGTTTTTAAAAAATGTACACATGAAATGTATGGTTAAATATACATTTTGCGGTAAACAAAGAAAGTAATATGCAATCGATCTATTTACAAGTAAATTCAAGGCTTCAGAGACACGACAGCAACATGACAAAGACAGACCAGACCAGATAGCCAGAGTGCAGAAAAGAGCTGCGAGTAAGATCCTCTGTGTCAGAAAATGACACTAAATTTGGACAAATAGAAATCAACAACTAAATTATTGTTATTATCTGTGTCAGTCTTACCCGCAGACATAGATGCAACCATTACGTTTGAGCAGGATTTCTGCGATCTGTTGGTTGTGAAGTAGCAGGTTGTGTTGGACGTATTTGCATCGCGCTGCGGAGATGGTGACCACCTCCGCCTTCTTCTCCTCCTCCTCCTCCTCCTCCTCCTGCTCGTCTCTGGAGAAACACACCTTGAGGTGGTTCAGAGTACCGCTGGACTCAAAGCCCTCCAGCTCCTCTCTGGACAAAGAATTGCAGAGACACATCCAAACATTTCAGGTCATTAAAAATACAATCTCCTACAAGGTTATTTCTGTAATCTTGGGACAGGTTGTTCCTGGTTTGTGAAAGCTTTGCCAGAGTCAGGAGAGCCAAGATGCAGCTGCAGGTGTGGAGAAAAGATCATGTGATAATGAATGGCAGATTGTAGCTATGCATCATTTTATAGGGGAAATTAACATGCATATTTTTATTGTAACTAAGACATAAATGTAGAAACGGCTGGCGTATTCATTCCAAGTATCAACACAGTTTTCATACTGACTGTTTATCCTTTCACACCCAACATTCCCTCAAGATATTTAGCAATAGCTTCAACCGCCTCACAAGACATATGACCCCCAGAACATTTCCTAAGAACAAAAAAAAAACCTGTCAAGCTCGATAAAGCAGAACACTGATGGGCAAAAGGTCTGAACAAAACTGTGCCAGACAACCAATTTATCTTGTTTAACACGAGAAGTGCAAAAAAAAATATGGATTTCATAAGCAAGGTTGAGTCACTGTTATAAGCATCTTTTTACAATCAATCCTCCCAGCCTTGCAGTTGGGTGTAACCTTGCTCCCCCCCATCTGTGGTCTGCTTGCCAACTACTCCTTCTTCTTCCTCAGTGTTTTTACAGGGCCTGGGGTGCTATTGGAAGGGAAAGAAACAGGAAGGTAGTGAGGGAGTAAGGGTTTACTGTGGCTCGGAGCATCTTATTTAAAGTTAACCAGTCGGAATGAGCAGAAACACACACGCGGCACAACCTCACACACACTCATAACAAGCCGTGGCTCAGAGATCATGGGTGAAGGTCTTCGCCTCAGGGGTCTGTGTTTTGCAGTAACCCCTAGACTAAAATAAGGCATTTTTCAATAACACACAGACACAGCGGTGTGAATACTGAAGGGAGAGATGAGTTTTGTTGACTTTGTTCTAAGTGAAACATCCAGAATTCTTGCTTCTTCTGCAATGTTTACTGTATAACCTTTAGTCATTAAAATAAATCTAATTCTTCTTGGCCAAGATGTGTGATTTCAAAGGCCATCTGAACATGAGAGCAACAACATGAATAACAAGGAAAAGGATGGCGGAGTCTTGTTTGTGTGACGCGCAGAAACTGGCGGATGACAGAAGACGGTTCATTTTCTTGAAAAAACACAACAGTTGAGGGTTTCTGAGAGCCGAAACCTGCCAGCGCTGTCGGCGTGTTTACACACATAACAGCCTGTGGCGATATCCCGGACCCTAACGTGCACCCAGCAGGCCTTCCAGTTGTGTTTCCCCTACAGCATGAAATCACTTGCCATAAAGAGGCAGAGAAATCTGAGGGAGGGGAAGAGGATAAGTGCAGCGGAGGGGAGAGGGCAGGACGAGCTTGATGTGACAAGCAGGCAGATTGGCATCAACCTCTCAGAGGGATGTTAAGTGCTGTGGCTGATTGAGGCGCATCGCAAGCCTTGTTTGTGGGAAATTCAGAACCCCGTCGGAGAGTTACACATTCTGTCTTGACATTTTGTAATATTTATAAGCATAAAAACCTGTGTTTGCTATATTTATGGAAGTTCACATTTCCAACCCTTGCTTACAATGACTTCAGCTAAACTTTGCTTTAAAAAAATCTGGGGCATTGAAAAATGCTGCAAACTACGCTAAACCTCTTTCTGCATTTCAAGGCAATGCCAGACATCAAATTACATTTACTTTTAGAGAAATCCAACAGAGATAAATGCCGGCAGGCCATTCAACTGCAGGTATGTTGTTCTCATTCTGCTAACCTATTTAAATCGAGTACAACTCTTCACGGGTGGCTCATAAAACACAGACTAATCGCTTTGGTCAACACTGTGGGGGTGTTCATCAGAGAAGCCCACACTGTGAACAAACACTGTGTACTACCTGGCTGTGAGCTGGTATTTAACTAAGGGATAGGGGAGACAAAGGGGAACAAACAGCATCCTCTGTGATCTATTCTTGCGTGATTAAGAATGCTAATCCATTCACACTATTTAATCCTGCAAAAGAACTCGATCAGTGCACAATCATGCTGCTGATACTAGCAAGAGCCGATCAATTAGTGTGTAGTCAGGACAGAGTAAAGCCAAGACAAACTGATAGGGGCAGTGATCTACCCACAGGTGGATGTCAGCTTATAAGGAATCAGGAAAAGAAGAGAGATCTTAGAAAGGTGACTAATATTCATACAGTTTAGCTGGATCCCAGCCCCCATTCAGTTCCTGTAAGAATACAGTGTCAGTGTTGAGCACTAAACCAAAACCTGTCCAGCCACACGGGGCAACCTTACCATTCATTTGGAGTCAAGTTTATAGTCAGCTGACACACAATTTAAGTCCAATATTCACTCTCTCTTTCGCTCTGATCTCTACCAACAAAATATTTTGCGCTTTAGCAGCTAAATGCCACACTGTGTTCACTAGCTAGTTGCTAACCTTTTCTTTCTGTTGTTTGGTGTTGGGAAGGTTTTTAAAAAAAAACACAGGTGCCTCCTGCGCCTAGAAACTACACTGATGACACGTGACTGATGAGAATTGCATGCATTGTATTGTTGAATGATAATAATAGTTCTATGTAGTTTGTCACTATGCATGACCCTTTTTAGTCATTAGATGTATTTTTAATATAAAAATATGTATTTATATATACATAAAAATATTAGACATTTGCTACATTTACATTGACATTTTTTTAACATTACTCTTTGCTAATAAATACATATTTATTTAACATTTCATAAGAGATTCTTTAGCTTCCAAGCTTAACACACCCACATATTTTATCAACCTGGAATTAGATTCATAAAAGAAATATCTAACCATACCCAACCATAGAAAAAGGTCACATAACCTCCATGCAACTTCCTGCCTTGAGTTACAATTACATGCAAAGTATATAATATAATATATATATAT